TTAACTGTTTCTAGGATATCTTCCATTTGGACAACAACATACAATGTTGCCGGGTTACGTCTAACACTGGCAGACGTTTTCACTGCACCCAAGCTGATTTTACCCTGATTTTATGAAAGTCAGCAGTTTGAGTACCCAGGCTCCTCTTCTCTTCCTGTGGAGGGTCTTAGTTTCCCTCCGTATGGTGCTGTGGCTGTGGTTTATTAATGTCAGGATTTCAATAATCGCAGCATTTGATTGATGTTGGTGATTTAACAAAACCATTACCTCTGCTTTCCATTATACCCAGTCTTTCTTTTTCTTAAGCACAATGTTTTACGTTATTAATAATACCTGTAAAAATTATAAGGATCTCTCATAACCTCATGAGAAGTATTATGTAAATCTACACTTCTCCTTAGCTTTGTAGAGCTTTTAATTCATTGTTTTTATGCCCCAAAGCACTGCAGAGTCCTCTACCCCTCTAACTAAATGAGAAAAAGGCCCATCTAGTGATCATCTGGTGAGTAAAGCATACATTTAGCAGCTAAACATAACAACAGAAACAACATTTCTGAAAAAATTGATTTTTAGACACAGGCTTTCCTGCTGTGCTGATAGTGTGACAGAGAACAAGACAGATTTTTACTAACCTGTCTGTTTTATACTTTTTTGTATTATTTTGCTGATGGCTAACCATGATATGCAGAGTTTACCAGCCTTGCTGGGACTTGTTTCTTGATCTCTTTCCATGTAAAATTCAGTTTTATTTAATCCAATGTGAATTCAGCTGATATACTTTAATGATATTTAGAAACAGAGTGTATGAGATATTCTAAAGTGATCCCTACTGGATGGAAAAACTGATCCCCAATATACACCTCGGGGTTAAAGTGCTAACAAAATGCCTGCAGATGGATAAAAATATGAGATATTTCTATGTTAGAGCTATTTAAAAATCTAATGCCAGCAATGTGTTAATAGCATGGATATTAAAAGATAATGGACATTGTCATCAATTGTTGGTTTTCGACACTGTTAAGCTTCAACATCAGTGTTTTGTCCATCACCATGTTGGGTTTTTTTGGAACTGGAAGTTACCTTATGGATCAAAGATTGGAGTCATCAAAAGGGTAAAAGATGAAAGTAGCTGCTGCGATGTCATCTATTGCAACCTTACTGGTTAATAATTTATGATTGTCAACAAGCGTGCTGCTTTATACCATATCAGTGTTGATGCATGATATGACCAATATTTACATAACAGATTTAATATGACCCCAAAAGATCTCATATACTTCTATAGAACTGGAAGTCTTTTCTAATGGCTTTCAGATAGAATCCATCCAGCTTCTACCACTTATCTAAGTCCAGGTTGTGGGGGCAGCAGTCTAATTAGAGAAACCCAGACCTCCCTCCCCCCCAGCAACCTCCTCCCCTTCAGCTGGTTCATATTAGTGTGGAGGAGTGGCTGTGCTACTCTTTGTCTCTTGTGAATGACCAAACTGCTCACTGTATCTCTAAGGGAGGTTATTTGTATGTGCGATCTCATTCTTTCGCTCAGTCACTACCCAGAGCTCGTGGCAAAGTACATTGAGGGTACATTGGTTAATTAGCCCTAACTAGACTTTCACTCAAGAAGATAAGTACAACCCCCCTCGCCCCAGAACTTCTGGTATCGTCAGTACATAATAGTGAGGGTTAATTTTATATTTATATTATTCAGGTATTACATTAAAAATGCTCGAAAAGGCACCAAATGCAAACACACACCCAGATAGATGATTTACAAAGAAACTCCTGCCACTCAGAGTTGTTATGAAGGAGGAAGGAATCCATAGAGGACAAAACTATATTTTGTACCCAGCTGCAAATGTGCACTTCAGTTCTCTAATATAGAAGTCTGTGGGGATTGACTCGAGCCTCAGGAGGCACAGAGAGGAACTGGAGTTGTTGTTTCAGCTCTGGACGTTGCCCCTTCCAGTCACAAGCTCTTATAGCTAAGGCAAAACAAATAAACATAAACAAAACATTAGACATATATTTCTAAATTATCCACACTTCACAGTAATTAAAGTTGCAGACAATCTCATAATATCTAAGGAAATAAATTTGTCTAAAACTGACACTTATCATTAACAAAAGACAGACAACACAGCAGGCTTCTGAGCTTCATTATCCCACAGTTTGAGTCACGTGTCCACTCCTGTTTTCTGGAGGGCTCAGTTTTTGGCTCTGTTGATACTGCGTCCCACTGCACTGCAGTTTTTTGGCATCTATCAGCAGATAGAAAAGGAGCCATGAACTGTTTGCCCCTTTGGTGTGGGTGGGACTTATTTATGCTCTGTCTCCATGCTCCGCCCACTATGCCGAAAGTATTACACTAGTCCAGGATGTTTTGTTTGAGGAAACAGAGGTGAAGGAGGTTGAGGAAAGTTACTGTGTTAAACAAAATATTCAGTGATTGTTTTTATAAGTGTCCTAATTACGTTACAGATCGGGGTTTTTTTGTGCTCATTGAACTGTTTTTGCCTTGTATGCAATCTCAGTAAGGTTGTAGGTTGTAGCCTGGAATGTAAACACAGTAGTTTAGTAACAGTGGGCCCATTGAGCTTTATCCACATCCTGTTTGTGAGCTCTGAAAAAGTTCCCACGAAGGAAAGGTCACTGTCATGCTTGGCACAGATCCAGTACAATCACACGCTCTGTCACACGACCCCTGCGAGCTTTAAAACAATTGAATTATATTAAAGCGCGGTTCTGGATTCAGGGACCCTAATTGTTCTGCAAATACAGCTCTATATTAAACAGCGCAATAGGTGCAATTTTGGAAGAAGGGCTGCAGTGTCTTGGCAAAGTTCAGTGAGTAATGTGATAATGACAGTCATGACGGGGCGCATGATGTAACGGCATATTTCAAAGCAGTTGTTGGGAGGAAAACGGGCCAGCAGCGGGCTGGAGCGAAGCCAGTCGCTCAACGAGAGCACTCTGTTCCACACAGATCGAAGATTACCACATGATCTATCTGCATTAGTTCCATCCTGCTGTCAGAGTGTGGCCACACCTTTCACATGACAACTGCAAAGCATTTTCCAGAAGCTGCTGCAGTCAGCTGAAGTTGTTTTACTGTGTAATTTACTCCATTCTATATTTCATCCAGAAGAATGCGGGGTATTGCTAATATGTGAAATGTTAGTACACATGTGAGGAAAAAATTGCTTCAAAAGCAGTCATAAGGAAATTTGGATAGGTATGTATATCTGAGATCATTGTGTGAGGACTTTGTTTTTTCCTTTTCAGGGGTACTACTGTACATGGAAAAGGGTTTAAAGCTTTTGTGGCTCCTGAGGGAACTGCAAATCTGATGGACATCACTTGAGTCAGTGGCCGTCAAAGCTGAAGACTATGAAACTGAAATTATTGGGCAGCCATCTTGAGGCTGCATTTACCTCTGCTAGTAAAAAACAGCTGAGGTCCCTCACACTGGGGTCTGGTTATGAATGGCATTGTTGGTCCCAGTCAAAATTTTCCCCCTGCAACAGCACTAAAGTAATGCAAAAGAAGTGCATATTTATGGAGCGTTTCTTTGCAACATCCATCATTTATTTAATCATTAGTGATTAATCTGTTTATATTTTTAGGACTTTCCTGTAGTAAATATTGAATGTTGGTCATTAAAACCACCAAATAGACCAACTTAGTCTGTTTACATACTAAGCTAAAAGATATTCAGTTAAATTATTTTTTTTTAAGTGAGCTAAATAAGTTTGCGTTATTTCTACATATGTGGCTGTGTTATATAAACAACCTGAAAAAGTATTAGGTAATATTTTACAGAGCTGGCTTATGGTTTGTGCTGCCTGCAGCACAGCAGTTGTCCTCTGGGCTGGAGCTGCTGGCCTGGCAGCAGCCAGTGGCAGCGCCTCAAACAGAGCAGCCTTTGTTAGAAGGGGGAACGCTGGAGCCCTTGTGACATAGCTGCCACTCCCTTTCTTGGAGAGAGGGCCAGGGCCTCCCCGGGGTGGCTCGAAGGAGGGACTGTGGAGGTGGTAGACTCCCCCCTCCTCCCCGTCCTCTCTCCAGCATAGAGACAAGTGGCACAGCAGCAGGCATGGATGATTGATTACACGCTCCGTGGCCTGATTGGTTCTCTCTCACGTCTGTTTGTGCGATAATTCGACCACATGAAGGGGGCAGATGGGTGTGTCTGGAGGCGGGCTGCTGTCTTTATTGTCCGAGCAGTGAATGATTTCCCTAATTTTGCTTTTAAAGCAAAGATCAAGTGATCCACCAGTGAGAGGAGCGGTGATGAAAATGCACTGGGCCCTCTGTTTGCTCTCAGCACAAGGATCTAGAAGTTTGTTGTTCTTCTTAATTCGGAGACAATGCTTTGTGTACTGCAGATGTTCACTAATCCCATTTTAAAGCAACCTCCTTAGATTAACGCCTTTTCTTTGTCCTTATTCATCTTCTTTCCACAGTGTCTTTCCACCGCCAGTCTGACATAAACAGTGTCACAGTGAAAACATCCACACACAAAAAAAACGTGGTGCTGGTCCAAACATCCCAGCTCTTAATACTCTTTTACCCCTTGCCCCTCTAATCGGCAACCCCCACCGGATCAGTGTGTTAGAGTATTAAGAGTGTGTACAGTGTGTTTACAGATATCTGTATGCGTGTGTGTTTGCAGAATAGGAAAGCCAGTGTCAGCTGAGAGACATTGCACAGCCATGTGTTCCTTATCAGACGGCAGCCTAAAAAGGCCAAGCAGAGCCAGTATTTATGTTTTGCTGTGATTGTTGCCAATCCACTCCTTGAAGTGACATTTCCCAAAACGTCTTTCATCAAATGCCCTTAATCCAGCATCCAGTTGAGCCAAATCGGATACTCACCCTTGTAAGCGTATTTTTATAGGCGGCTATAAATCCATGTCTTTTACAGGGTTGTTATTCCCACAGATTAACTCAAGCTGTTTTTTAAACAAAAATGTGCAGCAACTCACCTTCTTTATTGTTTTCCAGAGCGACCGTCTCCTGATCAAAGGGGCCAAGATTGTGAATGATGACCAGTCCTTCTGTGCCGACATCTATATGGAGGATGGAGTCATCAAGTGAGTTTTCCTTTAAGCTGCCGGCAGTTTATTAAAAACACAACTTTTACCACGTTCATGTTTGAAGCTCTCTGCTGAATCACTACAAACTAACTAAGGGCCTCCTCTGCAGCAAGTAGAGTTTACTACTCATCTCACCATAATCTCACTATAATATACAATTACCTCCAAATAGCACCACAAATAATACATTCTTCTTGCAGAGTGAAAAGTAAACTTGTCATTATTGCCATATAAAATCTTCAGTGTTTAATGTCAAAGCTACCAATAAATGAAACCAGCACTGCCATACTACAATTCTGATCACTTTTTTAGCTTGTCATTATAACTTTTCTGTAAATTCGTTAGGTTAATCGACATGAAACCGAGCTGTTTTAGTGCCAAAAGTGACTGAGTAGGATGATTTATTTATGATGATGAGCTCTAGCAATGCAGGACAGATATTTTTCTCAAGTCTGGCTTTTATCAGACGGCCCTGGAGAAAGCTGACAATGCAGTCAGTTTTTAGTTTTGACTGCGTTTGCTATACAAAACAGGAAAAGTTGTGAGTAAGAAGTTAATTACTTTTTTGCAGAGCATAATGGAAACTGCCACAAAGAAAATGATGAGCATTGATACGTACTCAAAAACGACTACCCTAACCCATAAGTATATGAAACCACTAATTACTAAAAAATAGTAAATGTAATTAATGAAATTAAAATGACTAATGCATTTGTAATTCTACTTTCTAAAATGACTAAGGATGGTGTAATCAGCAGTTTAAATGTTGCTTTTCTCTTTAACTCAGACAAATCGGGGAAAACCTCATTGTGCCCGGTGGGGTGAAAACCATCGATGCCCATGGTCGGATGCTGATGCCCGGTGGCATCGATGTGCACACTCGTTTCCAGATGCCCGATCGGGGCATGACCGCCGCTGATGACTTCTACCAGGGCACCAAGGCGGCGCTGGCCGGAGGCACCACCATGATCAGTGAGTTGCTGAGCACAAAGCCCCTGCTGTCTGCAACAGAAGATTCAGAAATGGGTTAAAGTTGGTGTCTAAAAGCTTTGTGTGAGTGAAAGGAAGCTGAGTGCGGTGTCCGTGGTGGGTTTTCCCCGCAGTGATTCTTCATTTACTGATTGGCCCTAATTGAACATGTCTTAATGAGAACAGGAAGCGTGCCAGGCCTGCTCATGAGCAAGCCAAAATATGAACCCATCCATCTGGTCTGAGCACTCTGAGCCATGAGGTGCTGATTGCTGAACATACTGTGTCAGGAAGTTTCCAAAGAGACAGACAGACTCTGTAGTTTGTTTGCTATTATTTTATACACCCTGTTTATGTAATTTTGGCCTGTTGTTGTTGTAGTAGTAGTATTCTGAATTTCTTAATGGTGCATGCAAAGCCTAGATTTTCTTCTCCTTGGGCTCGTTTCCCTTGCACTTCAAAGTCGTTAAGCTCAAGTTAAGAGTTTAAGCATTAGTTGAAAACTTGTCCACAGGAATTTCTTTCTACTTCCTTTGAGTTACCATCTATCTGTAGTTTTGTTATGGCTTGGTTTGTCCTAGACATCGTTTTTAAACAGGGCATTGGAGTCAGTTTCAAGTTGTACCCAGATTTTTTTTAAAAACCCAAACTCTTACCCTGTGTTTTATCAGTGATTTTTTTTTTCTAACAAAATATCGTAAATATAATGTAACAGCAAATCTTGGTTCTTACATTGGTTTAATGATAATGTTATTTTTAAATTTACATACAAATATAACGAGTTGACGTAATGAGCAAAGAAAACAAAGCTAAATGAAAACTTGAACTGTAAATGTCACACTGGCCCTTCCTCTGCTGACTCAACAGGAACACCATCCTCCTCCTGGCAGCAAAACATACTCACACTGCATGCCTTTTTTACCCCAAGCTAAAAGCCGATTGCTGCAGCTCCTCTTAGGGGTGTGTAACATCCTGCAGCCTGGTGACACTTGCCAAATAGAGATGATTTCTATAATGAAATGCTCTATTCAATGTAGTTTAGGCTTAATTAAAGGCATCTGTATCCAATCTTAACTACAGACTACATATAAAAGGTACATTTTAGCCACCTTGACACCACTCACTCACTGGTAATAGTCATGTTAGGTTGTTGGGTTTTTCTTGGAGCCAGTAGGGACAACGTTTTGGAGGGATTTGTGATGTTATTAGTTAGCAGGGCTTTCACACAATAGATACCTGCTAAATTGTAAATATAATAGTATTAGAATTTCACTCACCAAAACTCAAACATAGACTTCTTATATTGACCTTGTGAGCGTTGTTAAATTTAAACGCGAGTTAAAAAAAATTCTATTAATTCACTTTTATTCATATCGTGCCAAATCAGAAAAACAGTTTCCTCAAGGGGCCTTATATTATATGGTAAAGACTATAATAATACAGAGAAAATCCCAACAATCAAACAACCCCCATCAGTAAACACTTGGCGACAGTGGGAAGGAAAAACTCCCTTATAACAGGAAGAAACCTGCGGCAGGACTAGGCTCAAGGAGGGTTAGCCATCTGCTGTGACCATTTGTGGATGAGAGGAGGAACACAGGACCTTACAAAGACATTCAGTCTACAAACATATGTATCAAAGAGGATAAATAGCAAATGTAAAGTTGGGCATTTTAGCATTGAACTCTATTAAGAATGTGTTTTGGGGCCAGCCTAAAGTGGCCACTTCAGGAACTGCAGTTTCTGCATTCACTGTTTAGCCCTGGAGCCCTGAAAGGTTTCTAATCAGACACGTTTCATACAGTTTCAGGTCTGACTCTGGTGTGTATATATGATCATTTTTAAAAATCAGTTTGTTCCACATGTTCATACAGCCAGGCGTGAAATACATCATTGTCCATTAGGCCTAGATACAACATAACATAAAAAATAGATAAAATACAAGACAGCAGAGTTCCTGTATTTGTGTAGCTGTTTAACCGTGTGTGTGTGTGTGTGTGTGTGTGTGTGCGTCTAGTTGACCATGTGCTACCTGAGCCTGGCACCAGCCTTATGTCAGCCTTCGAGCAGTGGCGTGAATGGGCCGACAGCAAGTCCTGCTGCGATTACTCTCTGCATATCGACATTACCGAGTGGCACAAGGGAATCCAGGAAGAGATGGAGACGCTTGTGAAGGATCACGGTACGTCTCACATACCCACAGTCATGTTTGATTATCTTGAATTAAAGATTTGCACGTTGGGAAAGTGATTGGAAAAATTAATATTTAGATCTGTTCGATGCAAAAAGATTAACATCAGTCAGTATCAGTCCTGTAACCTGAGTGCAGCAGCCTGCACGTGATGCATTTAATGCAACTTTTTAGAATGAAAGCATCAGAAAGAGACACTTTTTAGCAAGACAGATGCAAAATCCCACAATAAAGGGACTTATTTTACACAATAGTTTGCTTGCATTCAAATGAATTAGGGTTCATCATCTACCAAGGAACTTCGTATTTAAGTTGGTTAATGATTAGTATTTTTTTCTGCTTTAAACCTTTCAGGTGTCAACTCTTTCCTGGTCTACCTGGCTTATAAGGATATTTTCCAGCTTACTGATGCTCAGGTAGGTTGTCACTGAATTTTTCAGCATATTCTGTATTGTGCTACACTAAATTGAATTATGCTACAGCCCTTCTGTACAAACTTTTTTAGCTTAATGGCTGTTTATACTTACAGTGGTGATATTAGATATACTGTTGTCCGATCGCCAGGGCAACAAACAGGCATTAAGTCAGTGTGCCCCAGGGCAGCTGTGGCTACAATGTAGCTTGCCATTGCCAGTGTGTGAATGGGTGAATGACTGAATGTAGTGTAAAGTGCTATACAAATGCAGGCCATTTACGATTTTACCATTTACCAAGTATTAACCTAAAGAGGAAGAGAAAGAGATTGAAAGCCTACAGTAAATCTGATCTAATACTATCATAAAAGTCATATCCTACTCTTGATTTTGGCTCACGCGCTCACTCTACAGCGTGACTTACTGTGTGAGTCTGTTTGTCTTGGCTAGGCTTCCCCTTGTGCTGATTTTCCTGTGTGTTTGTCTTTGGAGAGCGACAGGATAATGAAAGCCACAAACTCTCTTTCTGACTGAAAATGAATTAATCCCACATGAAAGCAGCTTTGAAACAGATCTGTGATGATCTTTGCACCTGTGTGAGGAATGCTGGCAGTTGGGTGCAGCCAGAGTTTATTATTTTCTCTTCCGTGTCAAACTCTGACGGCTTTTCATTGTTGCATGTTTAGCAGTCCTGGTTGGGGGGATAATGACTCGTTCAGCACCACAGTTTTTCTTCTGTCTGTGAACTCGCTGCCCGCTCGCTTTCCTAAACTTCGGACTGTCGGAGACTCGCTAATAAAGATTACTACACAATCAGTTACCCACAACTGATAGTGGAAAAAAGAGCTTATGTTTGCTAAAATTACTCAATTATAGACTTTAAATCCATCTTTTAAACCAAATAAATACTAGGGTAGACTAAATGTTAGCCCTTTTTCCAATTAGTCACATTCATTCAGACAAAGACATTGTCTGAATGACCCACTGACTTAAAAAGAAAAGATTTTTCCAATATATCACTGCTGGAAATCAAAAAAACAAACAAAACATGCTGTGAGTTCCTCTTCATCTAAAACAATTGATACAAGTAGACTTTAGGTCTGTGCTGGAGTTCAAAATTTTACTGTCTTTGTCTTTGCTGCAGGTGTATGAGGTTTTCAGTGTGATCCGCGATCTGGGAGCCATCGCCCAGGTTCACGCTGAGAATGGTGACATCGTAGCTGAGGTATAACTCTTCATACCATAACAAGATGCCATTTGGAGATGAACAGACATTATTTTTCTGCAGGATTTTTGCATTAAATGGAATCTTAACGCTCTAAGCCTTGAGGGTTATGAGATACCGCTTGAAAGCTGGACGTTGAGCTCAAAGACTGTGACACATCAGTTTCTTCTCAGTTGTGATGAAATGTTCAGTGCTAAGCTCTTAATAGCCAACAGATGAGGATAGATATTCTCAGAGCTGCTTAGTTTTCACTGCCAAAGCCAGTCATGACAAACATTCGTCCACCTGCACATGACTCAACATCTCGTATTTCCCAATGCGCTTTGTGTGTGCTCATGTTCGATTGCGTGTGTTTAGGAGCAGCGCAGGATGCTGGAGCAGGGGATCACTGGGCCTGAAGGACACGTGCTGAGCCGCCCCGAGGAGGTGAGTCACAGCTACAACTCTGTGAAATGTTGCTTTGACTTTGAGGAAAGCGTATCGGTTCATCTCCAAGTTGTTGGGGTTTTTTCGCAGTAGGGGATGTGACCTTTACGGGCTTCAGCGCTGCTGTGTCTGAATCGTTGAAAGTTTTACCTTGAGGCTCTGGATTTTTCACTTCTTTATAATCTTCGTAACTTTCTCCTTTTCCCATGATGAATGTGGATAATCACGCCCTAAAGCCACTTTAATTGAGTACATCCTCCCTGCATAAATCAGTGTTATTTTAAAATCAGTTCCTCAGTTTCTCTTCTTAAGGTTTTCTGTATTTTTCTAATTATCATCTGATGAAGGCAGTGATTTCTTAGGGGCCTTAGGGGGATAAAGCACAAGTTAAATTGCCATGGCAGTGCTGCTCCTGCTCAGGTTAATCAAATCTTGACCATTTTCCATGGTCATACATGGAAAAAAATACCTTGAAATGTTGCAATAAATTGACCTAGCAAATTTTAAATTCCATGTTGCTTTTCACCTCGGAACATTTTCTCTGTCAGAAAACGTCTCCCTTCAGTGTTTAACCTTGTTGTACCTGCGTTGATGTGCAAGGAGAACAGTTTTTAAAGAAATAGTTTGTTCTTGCCAAGAGTTAATGAGAATATGAGTTAAATATGAAGCCACAGCTCGCTGCTGAATACTTAAGATATTTACTTAATATTTAGCTTAAATTGATTCACCTCATTTATTAATTTTATATACTATATATAAATTATTTACCTTTATAAATACATGTGATATCTAAAACACCAGGGCTTTGACATATTGCTGTGCACACACTAAAATGACAAAGACTGAAATGAAGAAGAGAGGAATAAGAAAGGTCATCACCTCCATCTATTAAAGTGAACTCTTCTGTATTCCAGGTGGAGGCGGAGGCCGTTAACCGCTCTGTGACTGTAGCCAACCAGACCAACTGCCCGCTGTATGTCACCAAGGTGATGAGCAAGAGCGCTTCTGATGTCATCGCTCAGGCCAGGAAGAAGGGTGAGAACTAAGATAAAGATACTGCCCATTGTCAGAGAGGAAAAAGACAATGTGTTAGTGGATTTTTACAATAATATGAAACTACTAAATTAAATTTAAGCCCAATTTTATGTTATGATTAAGATTAATTATAGAGTAGACTTCACAGAAAACGGTAAAATAAACACAGATAAGTACAAATAGATGCAATGAAGCTTTTGCGTGAGTTCGCATGACATGCACGTGAAGAACATAGGATCTCATGCTATGATGGGACTTGTCTTTATAGGCACTGTTGTCTATGGAGAGCCAATCACTGCAAGTCTGGGAACAGACGGTTCACACTATTGGAGCAAGAATTGGGCCAAAGCGGCTGCTTACGTCACCTCTCCTCCACTGAGCCCTGACCCGACCACACCAGACTATCTCAACTCCCTGCTCTCCTGGTAATTGGATACAAGCACATTAGAGGCAAAGTTAAAAAGAAAATGTCAGCAGTGCTTTTTGTCTGAGCATGACACAGTCCTGTCTGTCTTTTTTGTACTAAACTTATTACATAGTGGAGACCTTCAAGTGACAGGAAGTGCACATTGTCCCTTTAACACTGCCCAGCGTGCTGTGGGCAAAGATGACTTCAGCTTGATTCCTGAGGGTGTGAATGGCACTGAGGAGAGGATGTCTATCATCTGGGACAAGTGTGTGGTGAGTAGATTTTGCTTTTGGGTGGGGTTCACAAGACCCTGTGCAGTCCTGTGAAAACTCCCCATGATTCAGTAGCTTGTAGAACCACCTTTAGCAGCAATAACTTGAGGTAATCATTTTCTGTATGACTTCAGTCTCTCACATCATTATAGAAGTCTTTAGGCCAAGTTTGCTTCAGTTCATTGAGGTTTGCAGAAATTTCTTTATGACGATGGTGGGATTGTGTTAACACTCACCTGAAAGCTCCAGACCAGCAAACTGCCAAAACTTCTGCTTTTATAGAGGTGCTCACACTTTCTGATGCTCAGTTAATCAGGCGCATTTGATTAACAGCACCTGGCTGCTACTTACCCCCTTAATTCCCATGGAAGCGGTAAGGGTGGACTTATTCTTTCACAGGACTGTGTCTCACAATACAGTAAAGGCGTTTTCACTCTTGGCTCCACTCTTCCCTCAAAGCAGCTCAGAGCAGTTAGTCAGCTCTTTTCACGTTTATGTTAACACTCTAAATGATGTCAGACCTCTTTTAGGCAAACTGAACTGGGACTAATTTGAGAAGTGTTCGGTTCACTTCAAGTCCACACTGCGCTCTGTTTAACCTGTGCATTGTAAACAGAAACTCACTGCCGGTGTATTATAGGTCTCTAGGCATGCTGTTGACAATAAGCATGCAACTGCTTAAAAACCAAATTGACATATGGAGTGAAGTAAAGCTTTACTCCAATTTACACCCAGCTAAAAGGGAATGGCTTTATTGGGAATACATCGCAGAGCTGTAGGAGTTGTGCCAACCCTAAAAATGTAATTAAAGGGGAATGAGGTGATTTTATAAAAGTAATCTGATACCATCCTTTAAATGTACTCTGTTACAAATAAAAATGCTAGATTTTGTATCATATTAGATTAAAACTAACAGTACTAAATGAAAAAAAAATCCCCCCCTTACTGTCATACTGTCCTTTCTGTGTTAAAAATCTGTCAAAACAATTAGTTTGTTTTTTATTTTTTGTTTTTTGGTACAATAACTTTTCCCAGGATTATTTTCCATGTTGCAGGTCCTCAAAATACATATAAATGGCTCAACATTTTCCAATTTTTTTAAATTATTGCTATTTTTCCCAGCAATTTTAAGTGTGACTTTGACCTGTGATAAGGTCAAAGTCACACCCCAGCCATTTCAGTTTGCATAAATACAACAAATCGATTTCACACCCACTCAAAATGTCACAATCTAATGCCAAACCTTGTTTCTCTTCAGTGTTTCTGCTTTATCAAACCACATTTGAGCACCAAAATCACAAACTATATCATAATATTAGTAGGAAAACACAAGTTTAATGTCTGTGACAAAATATTTAAAAAGTGCACTTTGGATAAACTTCCAAGGGTCATAGCTCCAAAAATTCCACCCACTCCTATGTACTTTGAGGGCCAAAAACAGTGCTTTGTCCTCTATCAGATCTACAAAAAACAGAACCAAAACAAGCTAAAGTTCTTGGTCCAAGAAGAGGATTTAGGAGGGTTTATCTTGATTAATTCAAAAAAGGGCCATATGTGAATACACGTGAAACGGACAAAATACAAAAGAGGTCACAAGCTTTGGTAGCTTTCTCACTCTCAGCTCGAATTTATTTCAGGTAACGGGTAAGATGGATGAAAACCAGTTTGTGGCCGTGACCAGCACAAACGCTGCCAAGATCTTCAACCTGTACCCCCGCAAGGGCCGCATTGCTGTGGGCTCAGACGCTGATCTGGTGCTGTGGGACCCTGACGTCACAAAGATCATCTCCGCCAAGAGCCACCAGTCGGTATGGTCCTCAATTATTTCTACATAACTAGCTATTAATACTGACACAGAGGTCTCTTTTCTTCACTAATGAAAGCCTACCATATACTGACTTTAATTATATACGCTGCATGTGCCAGAAGTTTGCGGGCATTCCAAGCTGCTAAGGAACAGTTTCCTGTTTCTTTCAAACAATACATTGTCATAGCAACAGCGTTAGATGAAAACCAAAAAGCTTGAAGGTCTGAAAAATGTAGCTGTGCAAATTTTGAGTGGTTCTGGTTAATCAGCTAAGAGTAGTTTATAAAAATATAGGACAGCAAACTTCCTGTAAGTCTATTGTGTTGTGACTGTGGATTGGTTTGGGCATGTTTATATTTTAAGAACAGGACTTTTTAACAAAAACTGGAGTCCAGTAACAAAAGTATATATTATCATATTAAACCACTGATGGAATTTGAAGCAGCGGTGTTAAATAAAAACCCACAGGCTTCAAAATATGAAGATAAGATCATGAAAATACAACCCCTGGAACTTCTGGTTTCCTGTAGGTGGCGCTATGACAAAGACTCAGGATTGGAATGCAGATATACTCCTACTTGTAAAAGGCTAGCCTTGAAACTAGCCATTTTGGTAACTCCTTGTGAATGAGGAGAGAGCAGTAACTTTAATGACCACTTCCATGACCACAAGAGCCTCAAAACTACATGTATAAATTAAAATCTCATTGTCTCATTCATCTCAAACTGGTGTCAGAGTTCAGAATCCACAGATAATAGATTATTTAGATTAGGATAAAATTCAGGTAATTTCATCAAGTGATTAATACTGTTTGATTAAGCTTTTAATTTGCCCTTGTTGAATTGCTAAAACAAAATATCCTGCATTCTAAAATGTGGACCTTCCTACTTTAACTCTTTCTGAAAGAGTAAATGTAAAAGCTTGTGTGTGACTACTGAATCACTCAAGAGGTTCTTACAGACTGCTCACAGTCTTAAAATGAACAGATCCCAGGGGTCAGTTCTTTTCCTGGCCATGTGCATTTTGCTAAGCACATGGATCATAGAGGAGAGCTGCTGTTAATGGGTGTGGCTGACGAATTGCACTTGCAGAGGATAGCGGGGCTGACATCCGGAGGTCTGGCAGTTAGGTCCAGGCGTGTCTCTCCATTCCTGACTCCCAATCCAGTTCCTGCATTACCTGTTGGGGAACACATATATAACATTTGCTTACATATTTACTATGATAACCAGTAGATTTTTTTTTTCTACAACCGCAAAGTAGAAACTGTTGCAACGCTATTTTGGGGGGCTTTCTGGCACTGAACAATTACTGTCTTTATGTCTTTGGGATTCTTCTGTGGATTTCTGTTTAGTGTTCTTTAATTGGCAGGTCTGGTCTATTAAATTTCAGAAATGCAATAACATGTTTTGCTAGGAATCTGCACCACAGAGAACCTTAGATGTGACTGCTCTGCTTAATTATCATGGAGGAGTTTGTGAAAGAGCTACTGCTGCTGTGCAGAAATGCCACAGTAAATGACTTTGGGATGTGGGGGTGTGGCTTTTTTGTGGACATGATGCACTTGCCCACCAAAGTTAATATATGCATCTTAAAGCTAATGTGGGGGATTCAACTTTGAAGTCTCTCAGGGGGTGCTATCAATCTGTATTGCCCCATCACTGCCCATCAATGTTTAATGACCTTTCAGTCACACTGAGGCCCTCAAACACACTATTCATTCTTCTACACTGCTTGTTGCTTGTAATGCTAATAACACTAATTGTTATGCATGTAATTGATGACATTCAAAATAAGTGGGTGATAACTCTTTTGTTGTGATAAAGGACTCTTGTTTTATGGCAGCCTGACTGCTGAAGAGGGTGTGGGCCTCACACAGTGTCGAGGGAGTGATGTCATCATTAAAATCTGCCAGAGAACTGGAACACATCATTTCTGATTGTTAGCAGGCCGGTCACTGTGCATCTGTATCCGTGTGTGTATGCATGGAAGACAGAGTGAGCTGTACACGCTCATGGAATCTGTCTTCTTAATCCCGTCATGTTCTTCGGTTTCTTTTTGTTCCGCTTGGTCAGAAAATAACGGACCAGTGTTCAGGGGAGAAATTGCTCATTTGGAGTGTGTATGCATGCATGTGTGTGGGTGTCATAGGATAACCCAATATACCAGTGATCTCATTTTAGGCTCTGTCAGATTGCCATGACCTCAGCTTTAGCTCAATAAGTTTTTTGGGAGAGGAGTCGTAGGGCTTTCAAACTGGTCACACAGTAACCTCCACACCCTCCATGTCCACACACAAGCACTAAAACAACACCTTCTTCTTCTCTCAGCCTGAAGACTAATGCCTCTGTACTCTGCATTAGTAGGCCCGAGGAAACACTTTTATGTGAGTTAAATCAGTTAAGCTCCTATGAAATTATAGAAATTTTACACAGTGAGTCCTTCAATATAACCCTGGCAGCTTTTCAAATAAACATTCAGTGCAAGCTTCATAAGTCTGTGAACTAAAATGGCATGCAGAATGTGCAACAGGAGGTTAGGTCAGCCTTATGATAGCGGAAAATAAGCGGGGGGAAGTTGAATGACTGCATCTCCGCTTTGAAGGTATTTCTGTTATGATTTAAAGTGTCGGCATGGCGTTAGGAGGAACAAGCAGCTGCCATAAAACATCACAGGAACACAGCTGTCGGGTGTCAGACAAAAACTTAAAACCTGTTTCAAATCTAAAAGCACCAACAAAAAGGCTTATCTTTAAAATGTCGTACGTACAGTACAATACAGTTAACAATGCGGGAAAATGTTCAAATATGTAAATACACTCAGATCCTTCAGTCCTTATGTTTGGAATTATATGCTATAATAAAGTAGTGATGTTTTATATTGTATGTTACTTTTGACACTACTGCTTTCCTTCTCCCCGCAGACTGTGGAGTACAACATCTTTGAAGGCACAGAGGTGCGCGGCGGGCCTCTGGTCGTGATCAGCCAGGGCAAGATTGTTTTGGAGGACGGGAACCTCCACGTCACAGAGGGCTCAGGACGTTACGTGGTCCGTAAACCTTTCCCTGACTACGTCTACAAGAGGATAAAAGCTCGCAGCAGGGTACAACACTCCTCTTTGTCTGCTAGGGTCTGTGTTTAACCGTTTAATCAGATGGTAACATACTGGAAGTCATTTTGACATTAAAGTTGCTTCCCACACCCAGCAATTTCTTTTACGATTGGTAATTGTTTTGTGGAAAATTTGAGGGATGTTACATCTTGTTAGGAATTGGCCAAACTGTCCACACATCCAGCTCCACAGTGTGAATCTTTCCTTGCTAGTTTCCAGTGCTGTGACTGACTTGTGTCTCATTTCCAACAATGCAGCTGGCTGAGCTGAGAGGCGTACCCAGGGGACTGTATGATGGTCCAGTCTGTGAGGTGTCAGTCACTCCTAAAACCATGACTCCAGCCTCCTCTGCCAAGACTTCACCTGCCAAACAGCCCGGCCAACCCATCCGCAACCTGCACCAATCTGGCTTCAGCCTATCCGGTCAGTCATTTTACCATCAGTTCTGGAGTCATTTTTGGGATGTTGAAGAGATTTAAAACCATTTACTTTCTTTTTGTATATCAGAGACTCAACATTGATGAGTCAAATTTTGCATTAAATTTGATCTGTATGAAAAGCCTAAACTAAGGGATTCTTTCATGACATACGGAGTTAAACACTGCATGCATATCCACATATTGCTCTCAAATAAGCCATGCATTCATTCAAGTGTAAGGGGCAGACTTTACACTGAAATTGGGTCCATCTGTTGGACTGTGACTACCTATCAAAAATAAAATAAAAGGGGCAGTTGGATACTATGCACCATAAAAATCTTTACATTTGTCTTTCAGAGCTAATAATAATAATAATTGGTAATGTTTGTGTGAATATTCATTACCCATTTATTTTGTTATTGCTGTAGTTTCATATTTTTTTCTGTGCATGATTGACAGCTTAAAAAACCTTGCTACAGTATCTCAATCTATCCACTGTCTGAGCCGAGCTGTTTTAGCTACTCTCCCTTGAAGGCCATTTCACTTCTCTTATTGGCTGAGGGACATGTGGTATCTGGCTTCACTGACACCATAAATACCCAAGAGTGGAAAAAGGGTCTGGTACCTGAGCAGTCACTGACCTCATTAATTAAAAATTTGGCCGCATTAAAAATGAGCAGCCACCATATACTATAACCAGTATATAACACATACACTTGAAGTGTGTTGTGTTATGTTTTGTTTGTCTTTTAGTTTGTTAAGATTTTGCATCTTAATTTTGTGTGTTAATTACACTCAGACCTCAACATCGCCCACTTTTTTAAGGACAAAATATTTAAGAAGTGCATTTTATTATGCTGGCTGACGTTTTTCAGCCAGCTATGAGGTAAATAGTAACTGTAAAAATAAGATTTGATTTTGATGAAAAAATAAAGGAAAATGGGGGAAAGACAAGGCAAAGCTGCATATTTTATGTTTCAGTGTTGAGGAACTACTCATCCCACGATGCATTGCAAATTTCAGCTTCCATGACAAATGACTTCCAGCCTTCTCAAATTGAATCGTTTTTCGTTTCCATGTGTGTGGCAAAGTGTGGCCTTGTTATCAATACATTACGGTGCTTCATTCTGGACTGCAATCACCAATTGATGTTTTGTGCTCACATTTACATGGTAACAGCGACCTCCAGCAGCAACCTCCAACAATGTCTCCAATTGGAGACATTGCTGTTTTGGATTGTGGGTAGAGTAGTTTTTCTGCAATGTCACAAATAAAATGTGTTAGTGTTAAAACACGGTTGATATCATGCAGACAGGAGCACATACCATTGTTTCACAGTGTCGTAGCTCGTAGTAGGTTTACTATGGATGGCTATGGCTTGTAATTAAAATCACTGTGGACAATGTGAAGGCGATTTTTTTTTTCCTCCTGTGGTTGACTTCCCAAAGGAATTTTCCCTGCCACTTTCTAGTATTCCAAAATTCATAAAACTAATCCTTTCTATTCGATCACACAGGAGCTCAGATTGATGACAACGTTCCTCGCCGGAATACCCAGCGCATCGTGGCGCCTCCAGGCGGCAGGGCAAACATCACCAGCCTGGGTTAGAGCCCCATCCTCAGGCGCTGAGGAGGAAATGAGGATTTGTGGATGTATGGCCAGCAGGAGATGAAGTGGTGGGGGGTGAAGAAGCTACAGCATTACACCAAGATTCAAACTCTTCACAACACCTCATCAGGCCACCTGTTAGCCTTCAGCCTTCATGTCCTCCTTTGCTGCTTATTTCCCCACTTCTCCCCCAAAAACCTGTTCCTAGAGGACAGAGTTAGGAAAAAACACACAAACAAAAAAGGTCTGCCTCATATGATGAAAAAATTGACAAAAAAATTGATAACACTCCTTATTTGAGCACTTTTGACTGCATTATTTCATTTTTATATTGTAATTTCTCCCTCCCATGTATCCCTGTGATATTTGCTTTGCTGTTGTTTTCATTGAGGGGTTAAGTAAGACTAAAGTGATGTTATGCAGACGATAATGTTGGAGCAGGATGTCTGTTCCTTTTCCATGTTTTTTTTTTTTTCATTTTGTGAGGAGTTAGAATGAAGCGTGGATATAAAAACACACTAATTTCCTTTTATTCTTTCTTTTCTCGAAGAGGCCAAACAGTAAGTTGCTTGAAATTGACCAATTTTGCATTTCATTCAGCCAAAAAGAATCTAATACTTCCTTCCAGCTGTTAGAAGCCTGTGATTTGTATTATATCACATTTCAGTCTCTTCATTTTCCAGTCCATTGCTGTCTCTCACACAGTGCCACAATTGATATTTAATTGACTATTCGCCACGAAGACGGCCTTAACATTTGAAAAATTGAACATGGTAATGCTGTACTATGGGTACAGTCTGTTGGGAGTCAGCTGGAGAGTCCTGTGGAGCAGAAGGAGCTTTTGGCACGTAGTAAATAGAGCTTTATTCTTCATCTCTGTGTGTAAGGTCATTGTTAAGTGGGATTGATTTACAGGGGGAAAGAGAAAGTTGTACTTAATGTTACTTCTGACTCGGCCTTTCCTTGCCTTACTTTCTCTTTAGCGCCGTCCTTTTAGAGAACCTTTAGGAGTGTGGGGAAGGTGCCGTTCACAATGCAGCTACATGTTTTCCCATTTGTTTACATTCCCAGGAATCACAAAGGTCCAAATTCTTCATTGACAGCAGTAGAAACATCTGACAACCGTCCGTCACCAAGCAGTGCATTTACATACAGAATGTCTCTCCTTCCAAATGTGACTGTTTTATACTCCCCCCTCCCCTCCACACACACACCTCATTTTCTTTCTACTCTTTATGTGCCTGAACCCACAGAAGTTGTATTGATAGTCAGATTTTAGCTTCTTGTTTTGTTATTGTTTTTGAGGTAAGTGAAGGATGTAAGATAAAAAGATGTAAAATAGCCAGGATTAACCGATTCAAAGGTGCCAGATTTTGCGCTTTCATTGGGCCTATTCTGAAGATAGAGCCCTGTAAAGATGAACAGTGCTTGATATGTTGAAATGTTCTGTTGTTTTATAGTTTTGAACTTGTTGTCAAACTGCTTTTTAGTGTCATTCTGTAACTAGGTGCCTGAGGGCTGAGCACTATTGATTTATGCTTGAAAGTAGACATGAGCTAATGTACTTCTGACTAGTGTGCAGTGTTGATGTGTGAGGAATGGGACACGCACAGCAGGCTCCTGTACAGCTCTCAGTATGGCTGTGGAGTTAACATTGCTTCAGGCTGTACTGCAGCTGTATGCATTGTTCTTCTCCTTTTTCTTTTCTTTTCTTTTTTTTTTAACAGCACAGTCTGGTTGTATTAAGCGAAGCAACTGATTTTCACCAGTAACCATCTTTCTGCCTGTGACTAAACGCTGAATAAACTTGACATGAACATAACCAGGGGCACTTATATAAACTGGGCTTAGATTCTTTAAATCCGCCTGTCTAGTTAACATAGTGACAGCAACTTAGGGGAAACCAAAGGTGAAACGCATACATATTCCCTACCACTAAAAGGGTTAGGGATCACTTTGAAATACAGTACAAAATAGTCATCAATGTAATATTATACTGGTGGAAAATTGGGTCAAATAACCTTGTCTTTCATTATAAACCACTGATATATATATATATATATATATATTTTTTTTAGTGGAGATCATTTATTTGAATTTCAGGGATAGGACTACACCTCAAACACACCACCCTTCCGGTTCTATATTTCTGAGTGCTGTGCCTCCACTACCATGCCAGGGAGCCGTTACCGATCCACACTGTGGCCTTTCCTAAACTGCAGTCACAGGTCCAGGTCCTTGCTCTCTCCAAACGCACTTCTTTCAGTAAACCTAATCATATTTGAGGTGTGATCCCTGCTATTGAAATGAGATATCCTAAGACAGCATGGAGAAGCTCAATTACAGCAACCATGTCTCCCGTGGTCAGGGGGCACACTGTTAAACAAAAGGATGTTTTCATGTAACGGTGTGTACTGCTCCCTTCACACACTGGTGCAAAACTGGCTCTGAAAAGTGGTGGACCTGGATGCTCGATTGAGTGACAGGACATAGTCTCTTGTTTGAGAAATAGGCATCTAATAGAACTACATATGGCAGCTTTGTTAAATGGTAGCCCTAAGAGCCTCATTGTGCTGGTTTTTGAAAAGACTAGTACACACTGTTGCACAAAAACTCTTTGTGGGGCATTTTGAGAGTGTAAACTAACACAACTGCCCTACCTGCTTGTCTAGCCAAATTTATGGCTTCTTTAGTCACCACATTGCAGGAGGTAGCACTGTGTCACTCAAGCACAGTCTGCTGAATGTATGCCTAGATGGATGCTACATGAAAAATCAGCGATTAATGGCTTTTCATTAGAATAAATGCGCAAAAAGGACATTTCCAAGTAACCCCAAATTTCTGAGTGGTTTTGTGCATAATGTAGATATTAAAAGTTACACTTCCAGCCTCAGTGTTCCAGGTTTTCTCCCCTCTGAAAAAACAGGAAGTCTGTTGAAGGCAGACTCTTTCAGCATTACAAATGCTTTATGTATTTAAAGAATCCAAGGCAGACGGGAATGTAATAAATGCACGTCTCTGAAGTATTCAAATATGTGACGAGATAGGAATGTCTTCAAGGCAACTTAAACCTCTGCAAGTCAGAAGTGGAGAATTTTACTGTTTCACAGTTTCTTAATTCTTTTTATACTTTTCAAAAACTTCTTCAACATCCATGTTAGCATTCTGCTGCAGCTTGTAGTAAATCCAGTTACCGCTCTGTCAACGTTGGTTAAAAGTGTAGGTGAGGGTGAGGCCCACAACACCAGCACAGTCTGGCTGCATCTGCTCCTTTCGCTCTCCCTTTTCCTTCTTTCTCTTCCTCCCTCCTTGGCTCTTTGGTTGTTTCTGGCTGTTGCCGTAGAGACAGACCCTTCCACTCTCATGGGGTTCTTGCTTTTTTTGTTTGTCATGGCAACGCTTTGTCAAATTTGAGGTTGCCATCAGCAACCCGTCCTGACCTGGAGCTATTAGTACGGGTTTTTGCGGACACACACACACACACACGCACACACATTTTTTTCATTATTCACTTAGAGTGCTGAAACATTACTACATAATCCTGTGCTGGGTTGTGTGGAATTCAGAATGCTACCATAGTTCACAGTGCACTGCAGACACACACACACATGCATAGACTCTTAGCACACTAAACAGCAAGGAGCCGTTGCTGCGTTGCAGCACCTGTGCCTGAAAAAAATCACTCGGATATTAAATACTAGCTGTCATTATTGGCATCCTCTTCGTGTCCCATGCCTCCTCAGTTTACACGCATACACACACTTATACTCCTTTAATGCTCTGTCAGCTTGGATGCTTTTTCTATGCCATATTATTGCTAATGATATACGAGTGATATGTATGTAAGCAACATGCTGCAGATTGAGAGGAGCTTCTTTCCATTCTGAGGTTGTTGATGCTGTCAAACATCTCCTTTGCCACCTGCAGCCCCTCCGTCGCCCTCTGTAAGCCTTTAACCTTTGTGAAAGTGAAACTGTGTGATGATATTTGTCTTGGTGGCTGTGGGGTTTCTGGGATGCTTGCTCACTATGTCAAATCCCACGGATGGTGATGTAAAAAAAAAAAAAAAGGAAAAAAGAAAGAAAAAGAAAAGAAAGTAACAGCGAGGACTTCAATGAATTAAAAAAATTTAGAAAAAATTAATTAAGTCTGTGTGTTTTTCATTACCTATTATGGGTTGTGTTAAGCAACATGTTTTCCACTTACACTTACACTGATGTAGTAAAGGAAGGGATAACTATTAGACAGGTGAATTAAAGGCCCTAAGGCTTTGCAATTCATAACAAAATAAAAAGTAATTTGGTCCCTAAATAAAATAAACACACTTATCAATAAATATGATGTATTTCACCAAGTCATTATTTATATAGCAGTATCCTTCCTGTTATCTTGGAGAACCTCCTTTAACAGCAATAATGTGAAGTTTTTTGTATGATTTTATCAGTCTCTCACATCATTATGGAGGAATTTTGGCCCACTCTTCTTCACAACATTGCCTCAGTTCATTAAGGGCATTTGTTTATGCACGGCTCTAAGTTTTCCCACCACAGCATTTTAATCGAGTTGAGGTCTGTGCTTTGACTGGACCACTGCAGCGCCTTCATTTTTTTGTTTTTTAGCCATTCTGGCACAGATTTGCTGCTTTGCTTGATATCACTGTCCTGCTACATTTCAGCTAAGTTTTAGCTGTCATCTAGGAAAAGAGGCTTTCTCCTGGTAACCCTTCCAGACAAGCCATGCTTGTTCAGTAGAAACTTTGTGCAGTTTCTCTGAGCATTGCACAGTCTGACCGTGACGTGAATTTGCTGGGAAATCCACTCCTGGGAAGACTGGCAACTGTTTTGAATGTTTTCCACATGTGAATTATCTTTCTCACTACAGAATGATGAACTTCAGATTGTTTGGAAATGACTTTATAACTTTTCCCAGATTGATGGACAGTAACAGTTGTTAACACACACACACACACACACACACACACACACACACACACACACACACACACACACACACACACACATACAAAAAACAGAAGAAAAAAAAAAACAGTCTAATGTCGCCTAATTGGTGATGTCATCATTCAGCCCGCATTGCTGCATTGCCATCTGAGCTGGGAGCGCTTCTCCAGATGTGCACAACCCGAGTTCCTCGCACCCTCCAAAAGACTTTGAACAGGCTTCATGCATGTACATCCACCTCCCCTTTCTTCTGTGAACCTGCTGGCCAATCGAAAGCAGAGGAATCCCCTCCAATCCTCAGCCATCCCAAAACCTTTCCACTGCACCTCCTTGCGTCTGGGAGAGTCATCCATCAGTCCCCAGTGACCACTGAAGTGTGAAATTAAAATCGGAGAGCGTGTGTGTGCTTGCCTGCATATATGTGTGTGTCTATGATTGAGATATCTTGTGTTTATGTGTCCCAGTAGAACAGAAGGTCAATAAGAGGCCTGTGGGAGCCACAATATCACACCCTCAGGCCCCCGAAAACTGAGCTAATAGAGATGTCACCACCGCTCACACATGTGTAAGTACATTTCTGTGCTCTGTCATGTTGATATTTGTGTGTAAACGGACATGAGGTGTCTGAAATAATTTTGTCACACCAAGCGAGTAAATTTAAATTGATTGACGGAAATATACAAACTGTTTATGAAGGAATGTGTGAGAGCCCAGGAAGTCTTAGGTCTGTAAGGAACGGCAGCCTTTGTGCATTCATAAGACATGTAAC